AGTTACTCTCAGCTCGATTGGCGCAATCTTGTATTCTATCATTCTTGGTGTAGAAATGGCGAATAGGAAGAGAGGTTTTGGATGGTGGAGAGAGGGGAACTAAAGAGAGGAGAGAGTGGAAGAAAAGAGAACAGAGAGTGGATGATAGAGAGAAGAAAGTGGAGGATAGAGAGGGGAGGAGAAGAGAGATAAATTAAAATAAAGCTGAACGAAATGAGATAAGCGTGTGGAGAAGTAAGCATTGAGGGGGGAGAAGGAGGGAGAGGATAAGAGATAAAATAGAGAAGTGAGAAAGAAGAAGAACGAGGAGGAGAGAATAAATGAAATAGGCATAGTAAGGAAAAGATAACTAAAGGAACAAAGCAGGAGAGCAAAGACAGGAGAGGAGATGAGAGAGGCAGAGTAGAAAATCGAAGAGGAGAGAGGAAAAAGTTCGAGGAGGATATTTGGAAAGATAGACTAGTAGTGAAGAAGAACCCGAATAGGAGAGAGTCTAGGAGAAGGAGGGGGATTATGGAAAATATATCAGGAGAAATATGCAATAAATGAGACTACAGTGCTTAAAACTGAAGTATTCTAATGCAAACGGGAGAGAATTCAAGCATCCGTGATATTTTAAAGTTACATTTAGAGTAAAACTCTAGGTTAGGTTAGGTAAGACTGATCGATCGAAAAGTTCTCACATATACCAAATACTGGTCCTTAGTGTTGCTAAGAGGTGTAATCTTACAGATCTTATTCGTAATCCAAATTTTGGCGAGCTCTACAAAATTGCTAGTCCTTTGGTCCGCAATATACTTTAGTGAGGAGTAAAATGCATGTATAAGTGTTAGTGTTGAGCAGATAAAGCCAAAAGTATATAAACTTTCGTTGTGAATCAATAAATGTGAAAGCCTAAAAAATGCCTTCATAGGGAGGATACATTTGACCGTCAAGGTTCTATACCAGAGTGCAGCACTTGAGAGTGAGGCATGCGTAGATCTTTCGTAGTTTTTTTTTAATTTTATAGAGGAGGCCAGAATTAAAACACTACTGGCCTACTGTCCCGTGGGAAAAGCTTTTTTTGAACGAACGCTCAGAGAGTCCAAGCTCTGTTCATCATTGCTCTATGCTACCGACGACCAAAGAGAACTTTTATTCCCTGCATAATAATAATAATAGTAATAATAGATTGGCGCTTACACATATGTTAGTGTTTGGCCGAGCTTCTCCTCCGATTTTTGGTGTGCGCCTTGATGTTGTCACACAAAGCGGAGGGACCTACAGTTTTACGCCGACTCCGAACGGCGATTGTATTTTTATGAGAAGCTGTTTTTCATAGCAGAAATACACTCGGAAGTTTGCCATTGCCTGCCGAGGGACGACCGCTGTTAAGAAAAAACCTTTTTTCTAAATTTTTTGCGACGTTGCTTTGACCAGGGTTTGAACCCAGGCGTTGCGGAGTGGAAGCGCGCACTGCTTACCACTACACCACAGCGGCCGACATACCTGAATAAAATCTATAGAGAGCTTTAAAAAGTCTCTTCCGCGTATTGTGTTTTGTCCGTTACTGCTCTATACCAGTGTTGGCCAGAATTAGTTTTTATTTTTTCTGCATATCAGTGGCGGTCAGAGAGAGCTTTTACTCCGTGCACGCTCATATAAAATCTACGGAAAGCTTTTCGCGGGGGTTAAGTTTGGTTCATTACTGGTGTATATAAAGCGGTGATGGGCATCGCTCTGCCCGCAGGCAAAGCTCTTTTAAGCTTTCCATAAATTTTGTAAAGGTACGTGTATAGTAAATGCTCTCTATGCCCGTCGCTGATATAAGTTAAAAACCGATCCCGCGGGAAAACATTTTTATAGCTTTCTATATATTTAGTATGAACGCGCATAGAGTAAAAGCTCTATCTGATCGTTGTTGATATACATTGTACAAAGGCTTGAAAAATCTTGCCTCGAGGGAATATGTAAATATGTAGTGGCCGATTAGGCTACCCACACCTTTTTGTAATGCTATTTTTGAAAACATAATGCTGGAAAAAAGACAAATGACAAAGTTGGGCATTAAAAAATAGTGTTGTCATTACGTTAAAAAAATAGTCATTAAGTTCATTTCTAGATGACATTTTATAGATGCCTCCAATTTTTTGTTATTTCAATGCCTAGTGGAAGCTCGGCATAACTTTGCGCTCAGGGAGAATTAAAAATTAATTATATATATGTATGTATGTACAGCGACTCAAACAAGTGTTCACATACTGTTTGTTTTTTAATATTCTAAAAGTTTTTCAAGCTAAAATTGGTTTGTTCTTTTTTTAATATCGTTCAAGCTTTAACCAAAATTATATACATAAATCAATGTGGTTGTTTCAAACTTTATATCAAATTTAGCAAAAATCAAAAATATGTCGAACTGTTTTGTCTGAATTTTTCGCTATTTTTGGGTCCCATAAAGTTGGTTTTACAATTTTTTTTGTTGGCGGCTGTTGTGTTTTTTATATAAAGAGTGAAGTTAAAAAAATGGCATTATTAACCGCCTTCATAAAAAGGAGAAAGGTTATCAATTCGTTGGATTTTTTTTGTTATGTATCTTACCGCATAACTTTGGACCACGTCAACCGATTTCTAAAATTCTCTTGCGAAATATTGTGAATATTTAAAAAAGATCAACATCTGAACACTAATTTGAGCCACTGTATGTATGTATGATTTTTTCATATAGAAACGAAAATTTAGTTTGGGTTTTGAATAAGGAGCTTGTACGCATTTTTCGAAAATTTATTTAATCGTATATTTAAAATAACTTTAAAAAAAATATTTGTTAAAAATTATCGTTTTTTTTTCACAAAAAATCTTCGTTTCATGTATTTTTCGAGAGTATATTTTCGAATACAAGCGTGTTCATTGTGTTATTATAATATGAATTTTTGATAAAAATTAAAAAAAAAAAATTGATTCAAAATATTCATTTAAAAAACATTATTCGTAAAAAATTAATTATATTTTTCATTATAATTTCGTTCATCCTGCATACCACTCTTATTCATTATGCGTAGTGTTAATGTAATTTGAATTCTTGATTGAATCCAATCATATAACTATAACGTTAAGTAATGGATTTAAATCTCTATTTTCTCTATTTTTATGTTCATTATTGGAAATTAAAATATTAAAATAAAAAATTAATTGATATCATTGCCTGCCTGCTGGTTGATTGGTGCTTGCATTTCATAAACGTAATAATAATCGTGTACTGAAAACAAAAACTCGTATATCGTATATACATGTATGTTCTACGTGCTGCTACTCGTTATTTAAATACATAAACGTATATTATATTATTATCTTATTTAAACTAATTGACAACAACAACAACCCATACCCAATAAAATACGCCCAAATTACTGGTCTTACAATCCTACTTGGAATACCATTAATTATTATTTTAAATATTTAAATTTTTGTTTTTATTTTCATTCAACCATCACCAACAACAATCACAATCAACCTGTATCACCGTTAATTAAATCAACGTTAAATTTATT